TAGTATACAAAAAAAATCATAAAAAAAAAAAAAAGAGATTCATGTAAGCCTCAAGTTGTACAAAAGTTTTTGTTAACATAATCTGGCTGGATCCCGCTTCGATCTTGTCTCAAGCTGGCAAACTATTTAGTATAAATTAACTTGAATATTTAACTAATTTTTAAAACTTTAAATTTAAAGCAGCTCACATATCCAAAATTAATTAAGTAGTAATTAATTCCATGAATGGCCTCCTGGTATAAAAACAATGGAAAGCTCGGCCTACCATGAAATGCACTATACTTGAAAAAAAAAATCTGAATGGCTGAGACCGTTCAGAGAGAGAGAGAGAGAGAGAGAGTACTTAAAAATAAAGAGAAAGATGTCTCTGTTAGCTTGCAATGATTGTAATGAGTCAACAAAATCGTATTTTATAGGTAACACTTGCAGAACCAAATAAGGGAAGGCCAGATTTTCGGAAAGATAACTTATTTAAATGGTTGATAATAATGGGATTATTGACAAAAAGGAATCCAAGTGTTTCTGCCTCTTTTGTCAGCTTTTCTTTATTTTGTTTGGATGTATCACGTTTCTCTGGTTCTGGCTGCTTCTGATGTTAAGTATTAACTGGATTAGTGGCTAGCTGGAGAGAACAAATTGTTGTATGTTTTTCCCATAGATTCAATAATTTCTTGCTCCTTGTTTCGAAGCACATAAAAAATTTCATTCCTGCCTTCCTGCCGACAAAAAATTGTTAGCATGTGGCCCAAAATTTCTATAACAGTTCGTTGATTGGCACCAATTCAACATGGTTGTTGTAATTTCATGCAAACTGGATGACCCACCTGGGGGAAAATTTAACATAGCTGGTCCATTTCAAACTAATTTACTTGCTCTGTGAGCCAATTTGATGACCCACCTGCTTGGAAAAATCCCTTGTAGATTGTATCAAGTGTAAGAAAAATGCTAATTTCATTGCCAATCTTCTGTACTATCGAATCAGTCTTACTTCATCTCTAACAATATGCATTTAACTTAACCAGCTGGGGGAATTGTCAGTAGTTGCGTAGTAGCTATATTGGCCTTTGACGGTCCTTATCAATCTTTCAAACACAACAAAAATGGCCCTTTCGAGTATTCAAAGTTATAAGAAATAAGCACTCATTCAAAAAAGGTGGTTTTCTAAAGTAACTAGGATGGCGAACAGGGCATTTCCATATGCATGTTTTGTAGACTCCCTAGGGATCCTCAGTTGATCTCTCTCTCTCTCTCTCTCTCTCTCTCTCTCTTTCTTCAAGCTGTTGGTGCGAAAGGACAACTTCCATAATGCAACCTTTTTTATTCAATCGAAGAGGTTAGAAAAAAATAATAAAAAAAGGGGAATTTTTTGAAAGGAGAAAGATGGATGATTCTTAAACCTACATTCCCCTAGGGACCCCACCCTTTAACAACACTCAATCGAATAGGTCGTCCACAATGAGAACTCCAATGGAGGTTTCATCCTGACAAAAAGCTAAGAGGAACAACATCCCTCCTCCAGAACTATTATAGATCATGTCTCTCTGGACAAAGCTGGCATGTGGGTCGATTCTTATTGGAGCCCTGTAACATAAAAAAAAAAAAGGTTTGAGCATTATGAATTTCTTGCCAGAGAGAATTTCTCACTGACGTGTTGAAGAGTGAGGACCCCCCCTCCCTGCTCTCGACACAAATATCTGTGTATTCAAATTTTCAGTTACCAAGACTAGATTTGGTTTCCATACAGAAACTTGGGTTTTGAATTTTGGATTCAGGCTTTGAACAATGGAATAATCTTTGCTTACATTTTCAATTACATTGAGGTTCAGTCATGTGATTATACCAAACTTACAATGATCTTCATTGAAGATCCCAAATCATATTGGAAAAAGCAAAGATGGAATGTCTTGATTTAGTATATATGCAACTTGGAAAATGGAATGTCTTCATTGTTTCAAGAAGAACAATAACTTTTGCAAATTGGAAAATGGATGCTACAGTAATCTTATGGGTCCAGCGACTATTGTTTAATGTGATAGAAGATTGCTTTGGAAAACCATACGGTTTGGATTGGTTAAAACCAAGAAAGGATAAAGGAACTACTTTAACTGTCGCATTTGTCGGTGCAAATTCTGAATTATTTCAAACATAGGAATCCTTGGTTAAAAATATAATTGAGTTTAACATTTTCGGCGATTTGTATAAATTTACACTTAATTTGTAAGATATTATTTAGACAATATCTTATAAGTTTAGTGTAAATATCTACAAATGTAAATGTCTACAAATGATAGTAAATGATCACTAGCCAAAAGTTTGAAAATTAAGGGTTATATTATGAAAGTCAACTCTAGAATCTCAACAAATGAGAATTAAGTGTTGCATAATAAAAATCAGCTCTAAAATTTTAATATTTGGTGTGATTCTGACTATGAGTTAATATTTACTTGATTGGGACATTAAATTTTAATGAGAAATATTGTGATGCCTCTAATCGTATATTAGTTAAGTGTGAGTGTACAATAAAATATATAGGTAAAGATCTAAATCCATAATTATGAGACCTTTTTTGTGCCTTGTCAAGTTTTAATGAAGCAGATTGTGTTATATCCAATTCCACATTGGCTAATTGTGAGGATAAGATATATAAGTAGAAATTTAAACATATACTTGTGAAAAAATTTTTGTAAAATAAAATTATAAAATTTTTAGATTAAAATAGATAATATTTTACAAGTTGGTTGTAAGACTCTACACTCATTGTGTAGCACTTAGCATCTCTAGAATTCTAGAGTTATTTCTCACAATATAGTATTTAGTTTTCATACGATTAGTGATTACTCTGATATTATTTGTGGAGATTCGCATTTAACTTACAAGATATTATTCGTTTTAATTCGAAAGTCTAACAATTTTTGCTTTAAAAAATGCATCTCACAAATATAAAATTAAATCTCTATTTATATTTTTTAACAGATCTTCCTAACATCTCATTTCAGGATTAAGGTATCACAATCTTGATGGTTAATTAGATGCTTGTGCATTAAATTTCTCATCCAGAATTGAGATCCACGGTTCCAATTCCAAGGCTACCAGAAGAAATAACGTTTCATTGAGTATGCAATTTTCTCTTCTTATGTCCTGTTCATGGCTAAGCAATTCAATAAATGTGCTTGTTGTTGTAAGACTTCAGCTGTCTTTTGCATGTAATCCATTTTCCAAGCCTGACGTCTAGCATCAGCATATGAAAGATTATGGTAGACCTGGAATTTGTAAAAGATTAAATGGAAAATAATATGAAAATGCTTAGATCTAATCGTAGTAGCATATGAATTTGAGTAAGGCTTTGAATATGGATAAGGGTGAACAATTTAGATTCTCAGAATAAAGAAAATAATAACAGATATATTTGAAAAATTGTAGTATATGTAAATAACTAAATACCAGGCGAGCATATGCAAATTAATAATTACAAGCTCACCCAAATTCTTTTCCAATTGTTGTTTTTCAAACCTTTATTTGTGTTAAAAGTCAATTTTGAAGCAGTGCATCAGATACTGAGAAAGAAAAATGGTAGATATGGCCTGTGGGACACCAAAGGTATATGCATTGTGCAGTGCATTTCTCCACTGTTATGCCCTGATATGATATATGAACAGGATAATAACCATGACAAGATTTATCCCCTTCAAGGACTAGAAATGTCATACTTTGACATGGAATGGTTCAATGTTATGCTGGCAAGCTAAGTTATTGATCATTGCCAAATTTAAACGAAAACAAAAATTTTGTAAGGACAAAAACGACTGATGAAGAAGAGTGGGGGTGAATGGAGCCCATATGATGGGAAATGAAAAGAGCCTGTTAGAGATTGATGTTTTCATCCAAATGAAAACAAATTATTAAGCTTTGTTGCGTGATCAAGTTTGCTTGTACTCAATCTTTCTGTTCATGATTGGATATAAAAACACCAAAATTTCAACACTAAAGGAAATCATTTTGGGAATCCTATATCTGCTAATCATCAGGAAATAGGCAAAAGATGGGTTTGATTCATGTTAAAGCAAGTATTCATCACCATCTCAAGCCTATTACTCACTTTGTTAAAATGAACTCGGATAATTGTTATGCTTTGAGATTTCTTGCATCATATCACTGGCGTTTTATCATCCAAATCAAGACAGGAAGGCAGAGAGTGGTTGTGCTTGTCAATCAAGCTCTGATCTGCATGTTCTTTTGTTTCTAACTTCATACAATTTACTTGACCATTTTTAGAAAATAAATGGGTCTCTCGTAAAACGTTAAAAGGCTATATTTCCAATCATCATCGTTTGCTTTATCCGAAAAACCAAACCCCTGATGATAATGACTGATTCCTAACAAAGAAGAAAAGCAGTTAGAAACTGCAAACATTCTCTCTTTGCTGTCTACTGCCATGCAGAAGGAGTATTAGTGTTGAATTACTTAAAACTAATTAGATAAAGCAGAATCACAGAGCTGGCAGCCACATCAAATCAAGAATCAGAAAAGGGCCCTTTTGACACAGAATTTGGAGATGGAATTCGTTGATTATTTTTACAGTATTGCAACTTGTTAGAAGGTGAAATTTGTAGTGGGAGTTTTTGTAAATTTATTGATGTTAAAGCCCTAATGGTACAACCCTAGTCCCCACCATGAGTAGAATCATATGATTATGGCTGTGGTTTTCAAATTAGTATTTGTTATTTTCTGTTTTCTTCTTGCTTGGAAGAATCTGTTCATTGTTATGGACAATTGAATCTTTAGTTGAATTTGACATTGATAATTGCATGGCGTTAGGCGCAGCACTGCCCAACAGAATGATCCATGGGCCATTTCGGCCTACATCTGGCCTTGTTGAGCCATGCTCGACTCTTACAACGGCCCGTCAATGATGTCATCTTCTGTAATCGTGTAATAAGCAAAACGCGCCGTTTTAATATTAAAAAAGGAAAGAAAAAGAAAAGAAAAAGAAAAAGAAAAGGAGTTTTCAAGCTTAAACAAAGGAAAAGAAGGCATTTAACCAAAAAATAAAAAAATAAAAGAAATCATTCTCCAATTACAAGATTGATTCACCAAAAACAGTGTAAAACTTCGAAAATAAAAAGTCTACTGTCGAAATCGAGGGTTTGATCGATCCAATTTTCTTCATCTTTTTTTTTTTTTTTTTTTTTTGTGTTTGGTTTTGCCTCTTCAAACCATTGTCATGAACTGCGAAGCGTGCCAACTCAAAGAACTGGTAATAAAAAATTTCCCTTTTGCTATTTCTTTCACATATCAAATGTATTATGTATGCTTCTGATTAACAAATTTCGTTTCCTTTTGGAAAAATTTAACAAAATTTTCCTTAGGAAGTGGAGCATTTCGAAATAAGTGAGGTTTTGCGTTGTAAGTTCACTGTTTAATTTCTTTTAATTTTGTATTTTTAATAATTAATTTCGTTTATTAAAATTTGTTCTTTTTTTTTGGTTCTTGATTTGATTAATTTGAGCAGTTAAAGTTTAATTTTTTCTTTAAATATTATATTGAACTGAAAGTAAAGAGATGAAAAATTCATGATGGCAGGCATTTTGCATACGATAGTGTTTCTTAGAGCATTAGGTCTAGTTCAGCCCAAAGACGTTGATTTGGAGCTTTTTGAAATTACTTATGTAAGTCATTCATGTTTCCTTCTTTCTTTCTTTTTTTTTTATTATTTTTTGTTTTTTTGATGAAGTAATTCCTGTTTTCTGTATTACTTTTCTAATGAAAATTACTGCTTTTATTACCTGAGTTTTTGCCGGAGTTTGACATGTATGTGTTTTGGATGTTCCCCACATTTTTATTTTGTAATATGTAGGTGCAATGTGGGGTTGTGGAAGTTGAGAAGAAAATAGATGAGAAGATTGAGCATTTCATAAGTTGGGTAGAAAAACATCCCAATAAGAAAAGCCAGGTCTGTTCTGTCTACTTCGCTTATAGTTTTAGCCTTTTTATTTTGAATGTAATCATTGCATCTTATTTATCTTCAGGTTTTATTTTTGCTTATGTTGTTCCTCTTGCTGTGTGATATAGGGTAGTAGCCTTTTACATTTTAGCCTGTATCTCATTTTGAGTAGGACTTCTTTACTTGTGATGCAGATATGCTTATCCTTTTATGAGGTGAAAAGCAAGCAGCCATCTTGGTTCACTAACAAAACCGAGAGACTATATTGGGAACAATGGTATGTCAATTTGAATGTGACTCAACGCCCAAAACCTTATTCAGGCAAGTCTCATCATACCAAAATGGTTGTTGACCCAGGGGGTACCATGCATATGCTCTTAATTTTAAAATCATAAATTGTTTTTACTTTCTTCAAAGCTAATTGATTTTCTTCTTCTTTTATAATTCTTTGTGTCCATCATTATAGAGAGTGCTTCTGAGGAGAGAAGCTCTCGCAGAGCAATGCTTGAAGCATCTCTTGGAGAGGTTCTGTCTCAAATAATAAAGTTTGTTAATGAGAAGAAGGACCATGTGCCCCCTATATCCGAGGGTGTCATCTATTTTCCATATGAAATTACCATACCAAGGTCAGCTCCCCTTCATTACATTTTCTTTTTTTCAGGTTACTTGTAAAAAGAATTAGGGTAGTGGAAAGCTGCATTGTTATTTGTTCTGCTCTTTTCCACCTTAACTTTGGTATTTCTCGTCTAAATCTTCTTTTTGTGCATAAAGAAGACTTCACCTGACTGAATAGAGAGGACTTGATGAAACACGAAGTTGGAAAGTCAGAAGACTATAAAAGAGTTGATATATATGAAGTTTGTGAAATATATGATTGGTCTAATGATGAACGGTTAAAGATTCTTATTAATGAATCTAAAAGCAGATTCTGACTCATATTAGGAATGAAACAGCAGTGAAATTCTTCTTGAATCTAATAAAGGTTACATTCTAGAATTAAATATGATATCTCTATCTTTATCCATTACTGAGTATGTGTATTAGCAATATCAAGTGGCTTTCAGTTTGATTGTGTAATTTGTCAAATGTTGAAACAAACACTAGGTTTTACCCCCCTTTTTTTCGTTTATTCACTACCATTAATAGTATTTATCATTATTGGATGGGATCAGAATGAATCATAAGAATTCATTTTGTTTGGAGGAAACTAGAACATGCTTTCCGAACACTGCCTTCCCAGAAAAAAGCATTTCTGTGCTTTCAGAAAGGCAACTTGATGATTGGATGAACTTCTTGAAAACAGTCATTTTATATTTGTTTGTCTTAGTTCCTTGCTTATGATGCATGTAAGATGTTTATCGTCTCTTTTAATGCAAGCAAGAGATGATTTATCTCTAATGGAGATCAGAGAGTTGTTTGCTTTTTTATGGAATTGAAATGATCAAATATTGGAAGGTGTTTTGATCAGCTGCCTAGGAAGAAAGAAATTTAGAGAAAATTGTTTGTCACCTCCTTGTAATTAGGAAGTTAGGTTTTCACGAAAACTAGTTGCTTTAAGTTGATGTTGTCAATTTCCTGATTGAGATATTTGAACTAAGTGTGCAAAATATAGTTATAGTCTCAAATTGATCATGTCAAACCAGGATCAATTGACTGCGCTGGATCCCTTGCTTTTGTTTTGATGAGTTGTTGCCATTCTCATATCTGTTTGTTAGGAAATTTCATTGAGGAACATGTTTAGAATGGTGAGTTAATATTGTGCTGCCATTACTCAGTTCACCAGATTCTGCTTTCGGAATGGACATGATCAAAAGGATGCTCCAGACCGGGCATCCAACAATGCTCAGCTGATTATCAGACAGGGCAAGCTAATTGAACTTAGAGTAAACAGTTTCTCCACTTGGGATATTCTTAAATGCTCGAATTGAACTCGTAGCAAAGTGCGGAACAGATGAAAACCAATCAACAAGGCAAGCAAGGTTTGAATATCTGAACATATAAGAGCTAGGTGCGTGATTGAATCCATTATCTTGTAAATATTAGCTCGTTTATATCATTTTCCTTTCCTTTCTTGAGATCCTTACCATTCAATGAATGATACTTTTACTTGTTCAATGAACCTATGTACTAGTCTTATTTGAGTTACATCACACTGAATTATTTCTTGACAAAATTTTGCCCCCAAAGTCAAAGCAACTTGTCAATTCATCATCGCACAAATCACAAAATACGACTGTTCCGACCATTTGAAAATGATGTCAAACCAACATGTTACTTTTTGTAGGAAAGATATTTTTGAAACAAGCACAATCATTTTTCTCATATTCTTCACCATTTCTTTTTTTAGTAAATAATTTCAAATTTTATGTTAACTAGGTGGGGTGCTCGAGCGACATGAGTCAAAATTTTTTTTTTTATTTTGTTATTTTTATTTATTATTTTTCAATGTTACCTAATTAAAAAAAAAAGGTAAATAAAACCTAAATGGAGATTTATGTGGTTATCTAAATTGGATTTTTCTTCTTATAAAATATAAATTATAAAAAAATAAATTGTTTAATTTTTTGTTCGTAGGATCCATTTAATATCAAATTTTAAATAAAGAAAATTGATGAATGTATATATATAAATATAAAATTAAATAAATGATAAAATATATATATCATAGAATGATTTGAGGCAAAAGATTAAATTTGCTCTAAATTCTTATTTGGTTTTTATTAAAAGATCGATTTGAATTGTTTTGATGCAAAAATACTCATAAAATCAAGATGAATAAAAATTTATTAATATTAATTATTTATTCATTTTTATTAATCATTTCATTTTGTTGTACAATTATTTTAATTAAATAATAAATAATAAATAAAAATACGAAAAATAGACAAATGAGTATGCTGCATGAGCATTTCTATTAAGGGATGAATAGATAAAGGAGTATAATAGATGAATGAATACATATATTATATCTTAATTATTTATAAATATAGTATTTTTTTTCTTTAAAAAAGAGTATAAAAAAAGCGCTTAGGACAAAGTGGATCTTACTTTTTAAAAAATAAAATCTATTAAAAATATTTATTAAATATAAAAAATAGCAAAAAAAAAAGAAAAAAAAGGAAGACCACATGGCACTCTTTTGGTTGTGTACGAAAAAAAAGGTAAACATAATAAAAAAAAAAACTTGATTTAAAGTGAGTTTTATTTTTAAAAAAAAAATTTATAAAAAATTTTATTAATATAAAATAATTAACAAAAATTAAAAAAAAAAGTTTCTTTTAACATCATTGGCTATGTACTGTTTATCTTTACTTGACCAAAATTTAATCTTTAGATGATCTAATAGAAAAAAAAATATATTTTGTGAAATTTCCACCAAAGTACCAAAGGTTGGTGATAAATCCGAGAATAGATTATTATTCTTTCAATAAAGTCAGATTACATGTGGTCAAATTAACAGAAACGGAAACTATAGGCAATAGCTTCTAAATTTGGCAACAATTCCCTTTGATCTCATCAATTTATTAGTATCCTAACCAAAGATTAAAAAAAAAATCTTACTTCAATTTAAAAACAAAACTGAAAGCAGGAAAAAAAGAAAAATTTTATCTATAAAAGAAAAAAGAAAAGTATTATTCTGTCAATGCAATAAAGGACAATGCACGGTGTGTCTCATTTATTATTGTGAGAACACTTTTTTGGTCCTATACATAGAATCCATTTGAGAGAGAGATACAGGCCTCAAAGTAGAAGACAGATAGAACATAACAAGAGAATAGCCTGTAGCCATGCAGAGAAAAGGGCACTTTGTATTAATCCATGGAGCCTGCCATGGAGCCTGGTGCTGGTACAAGCTTGTGAGCCTACTCCAAACGCTTGGTCATCAAGTCACTGCCTTGGACCTTGGTGCTTCCGGAGTTGATCCCAAGCGGCTCGAAGAGATTACTTCTTTTTCAGATTACTTGCAGCCATTGACGGATTTCTTGGCTTCTCTTCCTGATGAACCTGATCACAAAGTCATTCTTGTTGGTCACAGCTATGCTGGTCTCTGTATATCTATAGCCATGGAAAGATTTCCCAAGAAAATCTCCGTTGCAGTTTTTATTTCGGCCTATATGCCTCATCATAGCTCTCCACCAGGGACTCTCATACAAGAAGTACTTAAACCTAGTAATTAATGCTTTTTTAATATATCCATAGCCAGCTTTGTATATTCTAATTTTGGTTAAAACTTTCCTTTTTGTTGATCTAGTACTTTAAAAGGATCCCAGAGGGGTCGTTAATGGATTGCCAGTTCACATTTGATAAAGGCATGGAGAAGGCGCCAACTTCAGCACTCTTCGGTCCAAAATTCATGAAGGCCAAAGCTTATCGACACTGCCAATTAGAGGCAAGTATCATGTTCTGTTTTCATTCATTGAATATATATGGTTACAAAACACTAACTCATGATCCTAAGGATATTAACAGGAATTATTTTCCATATCGATATTAATATTTTACAAATTTTATTATCATTGCTTCTATCAAGTTTGAGTTTGAATTTGAGTTGTTGATGGATCATCTGCTAAGCAGCTCTCAACTCAAGCTGCTATATATCTCATTTCTGAGAACTTAGCTTTATATATGTGGTTGTATGTAACTATATGTGTAGGTGAATTTGTCCTAATAGCATTGTTATTGCGTGCAGGATTTGGAGTTGGGCAAAATGTTGGTTAGGCCAAGTAGGCTGTTCTTGGAGGATTTGGCCACTGAGAATTTATTAACAGAAGAAAAATTCGGGTCTGTGGATCGAGTTTTCATTGAATTAGAAGACGATGAAGTGATGATGGAAGAGTTCCAGCGATTGATGATTCAGAAATCTCCAGCCAAAGAAGTGAAGGTTATTAGAGGAGCCGGCCATATGGCCATGCTTTCCAAGCCCAAAGAGCTTTGCCAGCTTTTACAAGAGACAGCAGAAAAATTCTGTTGAATATTTTAATTGTTTAAGCAATTACCATTTATGCTAATTAATTAATGATATAAAAATCTCTGGATTTCTTTTCCATTTTTGATGATATATTTTAGAAATTGTCCAAAAAACATGACGTAATATCACTTATAATCACAATAAATAAAAATATATTCACATAATCTTATTGATTTTGTTTTTAATATTTAAGGAAGCTATCAGTTGACAGAATACATAGCTGTTGATATTTTAATATCATAATCACTTTTCATATTGGAATCAATGATTTATGATAATGTCATATTGATATTTCGTGATAATTCCTACATATTATTACCAGCTATTATTTCGTTACTAAATGTTTAAATCTGAAAGATTTTTAGAATTTGTAAAAAGATAAGACCGACAATTAGTGGGAATATCGCATTCAAAGAGATTGCGTTTGATTCCTTGCGGGTGAGGCAATGTTTATTGTGGGATAAGAAGCTATATGTAGATGGACAGCTAAAAGTGGAGTCTAATCAAAGTACTATCATACATCCTAGCAAAATATAAAAAGTCTAAATGAGAATCCATATAAGTTATGGTTTGAAAATCGGACACCAACTCACGTTCTCGTTGTTTGTCTACCAATCTCTTGCTTACGTTATATAATCTCCCAGTTGAAGAAGCATTTTGTCCTAGTTTTTGTGTTTTCCTGCGGAGCTTGGTGCTGTTCCGGTCGGTCACCGTGTTACTGCTTTGGATCTTGGTGCCAATGGAGTCATCCCCAAGAAAGCTCAATGAACTCTCTTGCGAATCGGATCATGTGCAACTATTGATTGACTTCATCAGTCAAAATTTTTTTTAAAAAATGTTTAATTATAATATAATATATATGTATAATTATTGGACAGATTTATTAATTTTATTTAAGTAAAGAGTATTTATGAAAAATTTTAAAAGTGTTCAATGAAAATTTTTTCTTCAATTCTTCTAACCTTTAATTTTGGAGTGCTGGAGTTTTCAATACAAATTTTTTTTTTCAAAATTTTTTACTTCTGCAGCTGATAAGGTGAATCCGCCACTAAACTTCATGGCCTCTCTGTCTCAAGAAAAGAAGGTGTTTTTAGTGGGTTATAGTCACGGAGGAACGGCTATTTCTTTAGCCATGAAAAAAGTTCCCAAAGAAAATTGTTTAAGACCAAAATATGTGACAAACTAATTTCAACCAAGTTCAGGATACATTAAGCTAGAAACCAATTACCAAATATTAGAACTTTATCAAGAAAGCTCAAATTCTTTATTTTCGACACATAAATCTCCAAACCCATTGTCGGCGGTAAACATAATGTTGCATTCATTCACCACTATAGCTATAACTTGCATTCCATCTAATACATTTATCGTTATAGCTACTGCGGTCATCCTATATCACCATACTTACTGCCATAACTGCCACAGACATAATGTCTCATTCCATCTTTTGCGTTGCTTGCGAGATGGTGGATCCACAAAGACGACTCCTCCCTCGTCCACCGACGACAGCAACCCTTGGCTCCCCCTAGCTTGGCGACATGGCGATGTTAGTTAGTGTAGGATCCGCCACTTCATTATCTCTTTTATCCTATATATCGTCGGTCATAAGAATCGCAGTTATCATTACTCTTATTCACCATTGTCAACTATAGTATGTGTTAGTGGCTATCATCACCCCATCTCATTCATTGTTAGCCACAATCTTTCAGCTGAAGAAATAATATTATTTAGCAACTATATTTTTTAGGTCAAGCATATATTTCAGTAATAATAATCGTCAAACATGTTTGTTAAACTAATGAGTCTGAATCAATATCATTTATAAAATGTATGCACCTCCATCGCGGATAAATGAGAATACAAGTGTTACCGTTGAGAAAGGCAAAAAGAACCTGTTGAATATTTCAAGGGATCGTTTTCAGCCCATTATGCCGCTACGTCCTCCTCTTCAGCCACATAAGTCATTGTTCTTTTTTATTTATTTATTCATTTATTGCCTTTAAATCTTTTATTTCTTATGTCTTCATTAACTTTTTACTCTCTTATTAGTTGACGCGTGGCCTAGCCCGTATTATGGGGTTTCAGCCATGGGATTGTGGTTTGGTTGGCAACGAAATGATTGGCGCATCTCCGGTTCTCTTTTCGCGTCTCTGAACTTTGCTTAGAGAGTTCATGAATTATTGTTGGGATTTGCAACTAGAGATAGGGAGATTAATTAATCTAATTGTGAAAATTCACATTTAATTTGTGAAATGTTATTTATTTTGATTAAAAAATTTTATAATTTTATCTTACAAAAAATACATAATAAATTTAAGTTAAACTTTTTCTTAGATATCATAACATATTTTTAGAGTCTCTTGATATGAAATCAAAGTATCACAAATTTTTTTTGTTAAAAATTAATATTTTCGTTAAGTTTAACACAAAATATACATATAAGTATAGAATCGTACAGATAAAATCACAGAACCAAGATAACACAAGATATTAAAATTTTAGATATAATTGTTATCGTGTAATACTTAACTCTCATAGGATTCTAGAGATAACTTCTATGATGTAACATTTAGCTCTTGTTCGATTGATGATCTTTTTGATATCATTTATGAAGATTCATATCCAACTTATAAAGTATTATCAACTTTGACTTAAAATTCTCACAGTTATTCAATAAAAGATACCTCACAAGTTTAAATTTAAACATTTATTTATATATCATAACAAATTTTTAAAATCTCTTAATATAAAATTAAGGTGTCACACTAATAAGAATTTCTAAACCTGTGATTAAATAATCTCATTCATTACCCCGTGCCATGTATTTCATGAAGATGGAACGGATGACGTTCGTAACAAGGAATGTATATGGGATATTAGCATTGACGACGCAATATGAGACCTTATATTGTGGCCAATGAGAGCTTCAGCTTACAAACCATTTGAAAGTTACATTTGGCATCACTGGTAGAGTTTTCTTGCATAAACAACTATTTCAAGCTGATAGATAATAGTTTTCCTTTCGCCGATGATTGTTACAGTTGGATAATTTCCTCTTCAAAAATGGCTATAACTGGGGCCTCTAACAAACACAAATCAGTAGAGAAACCATACTTGTTACACCTAAGTCAACTAGTCAATGACATCCAACTTGGTCGAAGCTTGGTCAACATTATCATATCTTGAGGTTACCTAGATAAAGCATGCTTAGACAGCTACCACATCTACTCTAAGGAAATGACTCACCTTTCGCCCAAAGAAAGACTCACCTAACGTGCCACTAGCAATCTATCAAGACAACTACTTCAAGATTCATCTGTTCGTATTCAATTTATATGAAACTATTAAATACAATCTATGTCTACTTAAAATTATTAAATATAATTTATAATTATTCACATTGACCTTTTTTCGAGCTTACGTAAATATTTTATTAACTATCAATTATCTTAGTTAAGTCGCTGCTTCTTGATCTCATATATAAAATAATTTGCAAGATTAGGTACGTAACAAGAAGACATAACACAACTACACACTTTGATCTTTTTTCAATTGAAACTTTCTCCATACACCTCACCACCTTATTTTCTTTTTTTACTTTACCTTAACTCTGATATAGTATAGTACTGATTTGAGTGTCACAGTGCACCATAGAGTAACAACTCTGGCACCCCTAATAGTGCTTTTTGGCTACAAATTCAAGTTGTCCTTCCCTTCAACCTCATCTTTTTCCTTTCAGCTAAGACAATCAAAAACACCATCAACAATTGGTGCCTTGTGTGGAAAATGACAATCATGTCTTACCAATCACACTTATCTGAATCCTGAACTCCTACCATTAATGTTTCTACTCAACCTGTAGCTATTATTGATGAAGCATCTTTACTACTAACTCCCTTACAAATCTGATCATCAAACCTACCTTTTTGGAATTCTTCATTCCCTAACAGCCCATTATCATTAAATGCTCGGGCTACACAGCCTTTTAAGGTTTTATCAAAACTTGATGGGAGTTATATCTTTAAATGTAACATTAACTCCACCATTGGTACACACCATTGTACTTGAACCTTCAAATTTTGTTTCTCAACAACGTATAGCATAAATTTTTTATTCACTAATGTATAAATTCGTGAACTTATTGTTAGATATAGATGAAAGAAAGTCGTTATTAATTTTTTTTGTTTAGGTGTGATTAATCACCTGATTGAAACTAATTTACAAAATAGAAATTAGATTCGAAAATCGATTACGTTTAAAAAAGGTTGTAGTATTTTCACAACGTCTATCCAAAGATGGTATCAATTTCGATTTCAAATTATCTAAACCTTGAATTATTACTTTTATTACATAAAGAAAACAATAAAACCTCAAAAAAAAATTTTATTATTATTATTTTTTATTTTGAATATGAAGATTTTTTTTTGAAAAGATTTTTTTTTTTCCTCGTAAGCTTCGAGATCTTTACATAGTTAATAACAAAAAACAAGAAGAAAGAAGAAATCAAAATTAGAAAAATAACCTTCGTGGAAATGACCTGGAGGGGATGGTTGCAGAGGCATGACAGAATCTTCAATATCATATTCAGCATAATTGAAGGCCTGCACGTAAACCAGATCAATAGAGACCTGATCTGTCGAAATAGCAAAACCAAACTCACCAAGCTTCCAAACTTCACTTGATGTAATCAGGACATTCTCAAGTGATATAGTCAGATGAATAAGACGTGCATTGTTATGAAGAAAATCCAAGGATTCTGTAATCTGAAGCAACCCATGCTTCAAATTCATTTCCATCTTTACAAGGTCTTTAGGAACCAGGGCCACATTCTCAACATTCCCAGGCGCATTAGTCACCGACGCAAAAAATGGTTCGGTAACCATCGTCATCGCGTTCTTATTTTCATCCAAAGCCTGGACACGTATGTCACTCCTGGATGCCTCAACCTCAAAAGCCTAGCCGCATATGATAGTATCAAATCTAAGAAAGAATCCTCCGCCACCTTGGAAAGGCCCGCATGCGCGCATGCCTCTGAAAACACCTTCTTGTCCAGAATCCAATCGCAAACCGTGGGATACTGGTGGAGACGCGTTCTGTCACATGCCTTGGCCAAGTATAATTTCTAGGGAGACCCTGGTCTTGCATATCCGATCTGGTCAAGCAGCTCATAGTCCTGAAGAGCTTTAGGTCCAGTAACCTCCTGAACAGTAGTTTGGATGATTTTCTCGATGACCACATAGTTACCTGCTACGCTTATACAGCAATCCGCCTCCTGGAGAACGAGGCAGCATTTCTTGGCTATCACCATGAGAGTTTTCTGCCCCTGTTATCATTGAATGAAAAATGATCCCCATTTCCAAAATCAGGAAAACCGGCTTCTGTTTTAGCATCAACATTTCCTCGTTCGAAACCCTGGCAAGTGGGCCACCC